CCTCCCTAAAATGGTAGGGTATGGGTTCCAACTCTCAGATAAAATTAAATGATTCTTTGGCTGCTGTCTCAAGAGTTCAGTGCTAAAACAGACACATTCTTATTTGCCTCGGTAAACAAAGCAGATAAGGGTAGACTCAGGAAAAGTCACTGTTGAAATTTCAAGGATCTGTCTCAAAAAAAGAAAGAAGGGGCTTATTTATCCATAATCATTAATGAGAAAAAGGACAGAGGGCCGGTCTGTAAGCTACACTTTCCATCCACAGGCATCTCAGGAGGGAGAGCAGGTGAGAGGCAGGGGAGGGACAGGAAGCGGGAGACTGGACGATCCTTCTGATGGCATGTGCTCTCTGGACGCCAGTGCTGAGTAGACAATCCCACACGGGTAAGATCACCTAGAACTGCCAGGTGCAGAGGCGCGACCCAGAGTCCAGAGGCCAAGGCAGGACCTGGACCACATGCTGAGTTCCAGGCCAGCCTGGGAGGTATGGGAACACTACGTACACAGAAATGAGAAAAAAGAACCAGGAAATCTGAGTAAGACAGTCGGCTGCACTGTGTCCACGCTCTGGCTGCCATTTGTATAGATATTAACATTCAGTTGAACAGAAAAAAGGATATGCAGAATCTCTTACTTCTTACAGCTGCACAGGAACCTATAATTATCTTAGTAAAAGTTCCAGTCAAGGCTGCTGCTATTTCTCCTATCCCAGCTTCCCCCACTGTGAGCACCAGTGTTACTAAAGGTGTTTCACCTGAAATCCATCTCAGTGCATCACTCTACCGACTTGGAAAGAAGCTCTATTATTTTTAAAAAGAACCACATTACTAAAATTAAAATTATGAATACTAGTGAACCCACTCACCTACCCAAGAGCAAGATCTTGGGTAATTGATATCCGCAGGGTCCCCCAGCTCATACTTCAGAGTGACTGTTCCAGCGCATACCCAACCAGCCACACTAAGGAGTCCCTGTGTCATCTCACCCGTAGCCACGGCTGCTGTGTGTTGGTGATTGCAGTGGCCATGTCATGGGGGAAGGCAGTGTTTCACAGCACTCCTCCCCAGCCTCTGGCTCTTAATGATCTTTCAGCCCCCAGTTCTGCAGTGTCCCCTGGAGCTTGGAGAGGGGGTCGAATATTAATGCTGCTAGTGGAATGAGTGCTGAATCAGTGAAGAAAGGAGGGAGAGGGAGGGAAGAATACCAAGTAGCAATATTTCCTTTATGGTAAATGCAAATTCTCCAGCCTTTGCTCAGCACAATGAAATACAAGCCTATCAGGTTGCCACCTGGGACTATTTCAACACGCTGCCCATGGAATTCAGATGGGTGGCCAAGTTTGAGAACCACTAAGTTCACGCCCTGAGTTCCAGCCTTGACTTCCCTCAGTGATGAGCTGTGACCTGGAAGATGTAGGATAAAATAAACCATTTCCTCCTCAGGTTGCTTTCAGTCACGGTTTTTATCACAGCAATAGAAAGTAACTAAGACAAATGATGTTAGAAAATTCTAACCCTGAGACTGGAAAGATGGCTCAGCGATGAAGAGCACTGGCTGCTCTTGCTGGGGACCTAGGTTCAATTCCCAGCATCCACATGGCACCTACAGCTGTCGGTAACTCCAGTTCCATGGGATCTGATGCCCTCTTCTGGCCGGCCTCCACAAGTATTGCATATTGTGTGCGTAGGTGTGTTTACATGTACATGCAGGCACAACACTCATACACATAAAATAAAAATTTTTTAAAAATAGTAGATTTCCACTTAGCTGTAGCTTTATATAATGGAGTCAGAATTCAGATCCAACTTCTCATTCCTCCCAAACTCGTGACTTCTTGTTATATAAAAGCATATTGTCTTGGAAGTGAAAATTAATGCAAGTTGCAGGCCAGGCCTGTGTGGAGCATAAGGAAGAAATGCCCAGCTCTGGTGCTGACATTCCACCTTTACAAGGTGGTTTCCCTGAAACGGAGGAAGAAAAGGCAGCATCTGGGCCACTATCTGAAGTAAGGAAATGCCCCTGTCAACTCAGAGTGACCTAATCCGTCATTTTCAGGACAGTTAATTTCATGGAGTGAGTTGAGCCTGACATTCTCGCTCACTGTTGCCGTTCTGGTCTAGTCGTTTTCCATAGATTTGGGTCAGCACCAAACGATGTTGAGTCTAAAGTCACTGGCTCATTGAAGTTTTCAATTATTAAGGTGTTGTTTATAGAAACCACAGAGTGGTTGGAAAGTAATGACCTTCCAGTGGCCACCCCATTCTTTTTAGCAATGTATTTATTTATTTGACTTATTTTCATTTTATATGTATGTCTATTTTGCCTGCATGTGTGTAAGTTCACCTGTGTCACGCAGTGCCCACTGAGGTCAGAAGAGGGTATTAGATCCCCTAAAACTGGAGTTGTGGACATTTGTAGCCACCATGCAGGTGCTGGGAACTGAACCCAAGTCCTCTGCAAGAGTAGCCAGTGCTCTTAGCCGCTGGACCGTCTCCAGCCGGCAGTGTTCTCTGCACTTTCCATCCTCTAATGGCCACTCATCCTTTGGATCATCAGTCACTTAGTTGTCTGTCTTAGTTGTCTGTCACTAACACACACACACTTTGTGTGTGTGTGTTAGTGACAGGTCTTGTTATGTAGCCCAGACTGGTTTGGAAACTTATTCCTCCTGCTTGCGCTTTGCCAATGCTAGGATTATGGACATACACCACCATGCCCTGCTGAATAGCTACTATTTGAAAAACTAAGCCCAGTGTGGTAGCACACATCTGTAAGCTAGCACTCAGGAAACTGAGACAGGATTACCACACATTCAAGGCTAGCCTACATGATATCATGATTCTCAGGCCAGCCTGGGATACAATTTTATGAACATAAAAGGCATAAAAGGGGGCTGGAGAGATTGCTCAGTGGTTAAGAATACTGGCTGGTCTTGCAGAAGACCTGGTTGAGATCCCAGCGCCCACATGGCAGCTAACAACTGTTCATAACTCCAGTTCCAGGGGAATCTGAAGCCCTCTTCTGACCTCCACGGCATTGCACGACATGGGTGCACTCACATACATGCAGGCAATACACTCACACATAAAAACAATAAATTAAAAAATTTTTTTTTTTCTTTTTGAGACAGGGTCTCCCTGTAGCCCCAGCTATCCTGGAACTCACTATGTAGATCCGCCTACCTCTGCCTCCCAAATGCTGAGATTAAAGGCGTGCACCACCACACCTGGCAATAATTTTTTTTTTAAAAAAAAAGGCATAAACAAGCTAAGCTGGGCATGGTGGCGCACGCCTTTAGTCCCAGCGCTCAGGAGGCAGAGGCAGGTGGATCTCTGTGAATTCAAGGCCAGCCTGGTCTACATAGTGAGTTCCAGGACAGCTGGGGCTACAGGGAGACCCTGTCTCAAAAAGACAAAAATAAAATAAAAAATAAATAAATAAAAGGCATAAACAGGGCTGGAAAGATGGCTCAGCAGTTAAGAGCACTGGCTGCACTTACAGAGGACTAGGGTTTGGTTCCAGCACCCACATGGTGGCTAACAAACATCTGTAACTCCAGTTCCAGGGGATCCGAAGCCCTCTCCTGAGAGGCCGTATGTGAGCAATACAGGCACATGGTATACTTGATACCTGCAGACAAAAGACTCGTGCATAAAAGTAAATTTTTTAAAAAAAACTGTAAGCATTGCAGGCCCTATATCGTGGCTCACACCTTTAATCTGATCATTTAGAATCCTGACAGAGACAGCCAGATCTCTGTGAGTCCAAAGCCAGCCTGGTCTACATAGGGAGTTCCAGGCCAGCCAGGGATATATGATGAGACAGTTTCAAAAAACAAAAACGCATAAACAGGCTGGGAGTACAACTCATGGCTCTACTTGTATAGAGGAGGAGGTCCTGGAGTGTTTGAATGTTTTGCCTGCATTGATATAAGTGCACCAATGCCTACACATGGTGTATAACATGTAGGCACTCACACATACACATAAAATAACCTTTAGTCGGGTGTGGTGGCACACACCCTTAAAGCCAGCCTGGTCTCCATAGTGAATCTAGGACGGCTGGGGCTACAGGGAGACCCTGTCTCAAAAAGACCAAAAATAAAAAAAATTTTTAAAAAATAACCTTTAAAAAAATTTTAAAGATGTGCAGGGCTGGAAGAGATGGCTCAGTAGTTAAGAGCACTTTTTTAAAAGATACATACCCATGAGGAAAATCTTAGAACTATAAAAGAAAATGATAAGAAATTGATTTTTTTTTCTGAGATAGGAAGATTTTTGTCAGTCATCAGAATTTTAGCTTAGTATTTCTTAAGAAAAATGTGGTCTTCTGTTTCTCATAACTTAATTTGTTGGTTTGTTGTTGTTGTTGTTTTCTGTTTTTTTGTCTTTTTGAGACAGGGTCTCCCTGTAGGCCCAACTGACCTGGAACTCACTATGTAGACCAGGCTGGCTTCAAAAACAGAGATTCACCTGCCTCTGCCCCCCAAGTGCTGGGACTAAAGGCATGTGCCACCACTCCCGGCCTCATAACTTAATTTGTAAATTAGTTTTAGAAGATAAAACAACTTTTGACTGTCCTGTATGTCCATCTTGTTTGTGCCTCTTTGTCTTGAGGGTCTTTTGTCTTATGGAGTTCTATGGTAGCTATGATTAGCTGGGTCTAGGTGCTGAATCCAGGGTCTTGTGTGGTCCCTGCAGACCAAATTGTGTTGCCAGTACTTTTCCTTGCTGTGGTTGTCATCCGTTGGCAGTCGTGAAGGCTGGCTCACTGGATCTGGTGCCTTCTAGCTCTCACAGTCTGTGGCATTCTGCAGCATTGTATTTGAAATGATATTCATGCTCTGTGGGCTTTATGGCGGAGTGTCCTGCCTAAGCCCAGGGACCATGAAGGCCAGTTGCCTGGCTCATTCAACTGAGCACACTCCTTAAATATACTCTGGCTTTGTTCATTCCACAAACACCGCCCCTTCATGCTAACTGCTTGTTTTTCTGCCCCAGGGAACCATCAGCGTTGGAGTAGACGCCACTGACCTTTTTGATCGCTATGATGAGGAATATGAAGATGTATCTGGAAGTGGCTTTCCGCAGATTGAGATTAATAAAATGCACATATCCCAATCCATTGGCACATGCACGGACACACACACACACACACACACACACACACACACCCCTCTCCAGGTAAAGTGTACACACACACACACACACACACACACAATCCATTGAGGTAAAGTACACACACACACACGCACACACACACACACACACCCCTCTCCAGGTAAAGTGTACACACTCTCTCTCTCTCTCTCTCTCTCTCTCTCTCTCTCTCTCTCTCTCTCTCCCTCTCCAGTGCAGCTTGTGCTTGAGTTAATGAGGTGGCTTGTGCTCGAGTTAATGAGGTGTAGTGCTGGAGCGGCTGGGATGAGTCGGCTCAGGGTTTCTCCTCATCTTTATTTATGAAAGGCTGCAATTAGCCCCTTAGAGAGGGAAGATAGGGTGCAGACTCCAGTCTCGGCTTTGTCACAAGTGAGCCGGCATGAGTGCCAGGTCTCGCCATTGGGACATGCTAATGTGCAAGGGGAGAAGCCAACCTCCATGAATGATTCTCAAAACCTGTTTCAGTTGGAAGGCACACTCCATTGTGTGCTGAAAGGTGGTGGCAGCTCTGCGTCCTGAGCCGAGTCAGGAAAGTGTCACCTTTCTGCCCACTGTGTTGGTTCAGCAGGCTCAGGCCATTCTACAGGAGGCCTCTGCCTCTGCTCACTTATTTATTATCAACCACATGGGCCTCACGCATGGACCTAACTCAGAGAAACTTGTCCCTTCTAACAGCCTCTGAATGCCTCAGTGAAGCAATGGGAGGGTCTTCAGTCCCTCCTGGAACCTTGACAGCCAGTGAGAAGGCCTGTGTAGAGTCACTCTGCAGTCCCACACATTGGCATGCTAAAGACCAGTGTTTAGCACTATTGGCTTGTGTTTTTAGAAATTTCCCATAATGCTGGGCATGGTAGCACATACCTTTAATCCCAGTCATGGATCTCTGTGAGTTCAAGGCCAGCCTGGTCTACATACATAGTGAGTCTCAGGCCAGCTGGGGCTACAGGGAGACCCTGTCTCAAAAAAGACATAAATTAATTAATTAATTTTCTCTAATGCTTTTGGAGCTGGGGATGTCACTCAGTTGGTAGAGTGTTTGCCTGGTAAGCACAAGGCCCTGGAGTCAATCCCCAGTACCACATGCATATATCCATTTAGCTGGGCATGGTGACATATTAGCCTATAATCCTAGCACTCAGGAGACATAGACAGGATGGTCACCCCACAAGTTTGAGGCCAGCCAAAGCTACATAGTAGGACCCTCTTGTCAAAACAGATCTTTTGGCAAACATACTCCTCACGTTATGGCACGTACACTGACACGAGGTGAGAGGTGCTGAGGTGGCCACCGTCACGTCCTGACCTGCCAGGTCACCTGTGCCTCGCTTCACAGTGAAACCCCAAGGCCGCTGGCACTCGCTTCTCCTCCCGTGCCTCAGTGTTACAGCAGCTGTCTTTTCCAGGCACCCTTGACAGCTACAGACACAGCCATCCTCTCCGGAAGCCTCTCTACCCAGAATGGCAATGGAGGCGGCTCCGTTAACTTTGCACTCCGACGAGTCACTTCCGCAAAGGGATGGGGAGAGGTGAGACAGTCGGCTGGGTTCCGTTGTCCATGCACAGATGTATTTCTGAGCAGTCACACTTGTGAAAGCTAACCCTCATTGTGCCCAGGGTGACATCACAGTGTGACAGGGTTCTAAATGTCAAACTTGAGACACTGGCTACAAAAGAGACTGTGTCTGAGCATTCCCGTCAGCCTGCCTAACAGCATCAGGATAAGACGTCCTTTGAGATGCCGGCTCTGGGAAGTCAGCATCTTTGTTTCCCTGGGCTGACCTTTTGGCTACACTGGCAGAAGACATGCTAGTCTGAGTGTCCGTGTCCGGTCCATGGTTGGCGGTTATCGAGGAGCTGGCTCTGCTGAATAAATGGGGCTTGCAGCAAATTAACATTGAAGAGTTACTTGCAAGTCACACAAACTAGTAAATGAGGCACCAGGATGACTGCATCTTCCAAGGCCAGGAGAGTGTGGCAGGGCCGATGGCTTTAACATCAGACCCCCAAGACCTATCCCAGTCACCCCAGACACCTTCCCAGCAGAGGGGCCAGTGCTGCAGGGGGCCAGCACGGAGTGGCTCACCTGACCGTAGCGTGCAACAGGCGGTGCTGCAGCAGGGAAGGTGCAGACCACCAGACTCCCCCTGACCTGAGCGGGGGAGGCAGGGATCCAGGGTAGGCACCTTCTTTGGAGGAGCCTCTTTCTACGCTCTCAGCCCCCTAGGGGCTAGGAATCGGGCAGCAGTCATCTCCAGAGGCAGGCGAAGCTGACTTATTTAGGAATCTGTTGCCCATTCTGTTCACAGCCCAGCCAAGAGCATTGAGGCTAAGGAAGGAATTGTAGTTGGAGGTGCATGAGCCCTGGGTTGCTGCCGAGATAGGAGCGCCACTAATACCTTCTCTGTTTATTTTTCCAACAGTTGGAGTTTGGAGCTGGAGACCTCCAGGGGCCTTTATTTGGGCTCAAGCTGTTCCGTAATCTCACACCAAGATGGTAAATATAAGGGATAGCTCCTTTTTGGTGATCTGTGTCAGCTTAGGATACTAGGTAGAGCCTGTGATGTAATCACCATCATTTGGAGTTATCATTAGTGTCCTACAGAGTTAGCACACTGCAGCAGATGCCCTGGCAGCCTGCAGGCCGGAAGCTCTGCGCTGGGAAGCAGGGAAGCCCCCATGGGCCTCACCTCTGTGCTGAGAAGTGGTCCTGCTTGGAGAATTTGCCCCATAGTCCTGTGAGGACCATGAATCAAAGAACAGTGCAGTCTGCAGTGTTCAGGGATGTGCGGGTCTTCTCTTTTCCCTTCCTCTTGGCTGCCGCTGTGACCACGCGCTCTCAGGGCTATGTGTGTGTCTAGTTTCCTTCCCAATTGCTGTGACAAAATACCCCGACAAAAAGCAGCTTGGGGTAAGGGTTTATTGTGGCTCTCAGCTCCAGATCACAGTCAGTCATTGTGGGGAAGTCATGGCAGCAGAAGCTTGAGGGAGCTGCTCGCAGCACATCAAAGAATGCTTGCCTGCAGCATTCAGCCTGCTCCCTTTTCACACAGTCCAGAGCCTACATCACGGGCTTCCCACCTGAGTTAGCTCCATTGACAAAGTCTCCCACGGGCTCACCCACACACCATCCTAGTCTCCACAGCTTCTCACTGAGATTCCATTCTCAGGTGATTCTAAATTGTGTCAAGTTGACAGTTAACCACCAGGGCCAGGAATATGTCTCAGCACGTGGAGCTGCCTGCTCCCAAGCCTTAAGACCTGGTGGAAGGAGAGAACTGACTCCTGAAGGCTGTCTGACTAACGCAGACTGTGGCGTGTATGTGCCCAAGTGACGTACATACAGAGAAATGGATTTTTTTTTCTAATCTTAAGGCTGCTGTCCCTTCTGAAGCCACAGCAGTGCCCTTCTTTCCCTTATGGGCTCAGGGTCTCTGTGAGCTCACCTCTCTTTCTTCCTGGGGAAGTAAAACTGAAGGAGTCCGGGGGGCAGGGGGGTGGGTTTTAACATGGAAGCTGTTTTATTTCCAGTAAATATGTGTCTGCATACCTATAAGGTTGTCCTTCAGTCCAGAGGGATGGATGATGACCATGGCAGGTGGGCAGGTGTAAGAAGCTGTGTGAGTGACAACAGACAAGAGGCTTGGACAGTATAAGAGGGCTGCCAACTCAGCTCTTCAGGCAGAAGGGGATAGTGGAAGGCACAGACATTCTAGGTCTACCCAGAGTCCTCAAGTCTCTACGAGTTGGATTTACAGGACTGGGAAGGGGATGGGGACAGTAGCATGCATAACCACATGCTGGGGATTCCTTGTGGGCATGTATCAGTGGTGTCCTGTCTTAGGGTTGTCATGCTGGGTGCTGATAAAAAGCTAATGCCAGGCACAGTGGCACATACCTTTAATCTCTGCACTTGGGAGGCAGAGGCAGGTGGATCTCTGTGAGTTAAAAGCCAGCCTGGTCTACATAGTGAGTTCTAGCTGGGGCTACAAGGAGACCATGTCTCAAAAAATAAAAAAAGCTGACTACCAGCCAGGTGTGGTGGCGTACTCCTTTAGTCCCAGCACTTGGGAGGCAGAGGCAGGTGGATCTCTGTGAGTTCAAGGCCAGTCTGGTCTACCTAGTAAGTTCCAGGCCAGCTGGGGCTACAGGGAGACCATGTCTCAAAAAGACCAAAAAAAAAAGAAAGAAAGAAAAAAACTGACTACCTAGGGAGCTAGGAATCTGGTTGTTCAGGTCCCCAGATGATTGTGTGTGTGTGTGTATTTTTTAAGAGAGTTGGAATTCATTAAGGAAGTTCAGTGGAGATTCTCAGCCCTAGAGTTAGAGAAAGAAAAGCTCCTGGGAAATGAGACTCCCAAGAATGTGACCTGAGCCTCTCAAAGCAGCATCACCTAAGCTCTCTTTCTTCTCTTTTCTTTCTTTTCTTTATTGTTTTGCACGTTGGGATGTGTCTATGCGTGTGTGTGTGCGTGTGTGTGTGTGTGTGTGACTGTGGGATGTGCATGTGGAAGTCAGGACAACCGAGGTGTCAGTCCTTGCCCTCCACCTTGTCTGCGGCAGGGTCTCTGCTATGTTTCCTCTGGATCTGCCAGGCTGGCTGGCTCTGGAGCTTCTGGGGATGCCCTGTCTCCACTCCAAGTCCCCAGAGGACACTGGGGTTACAGACACTTGCGCTACAGCACCCTGCTTCTGTCTGGGTTCTCAGGGTTCAGACTGAGGTCTTCACACTCCCACAGCAAGCACTTTACCCACAAGCCCCATTCCTCTAGGTGGTTCTAAGATCAGACGATTTTAGGAGATCCTTGTTAAGGGAACTCTTGTGACCATTTCCTTCTGGGTAAGCATGGAAGTGTCCATGTGCTATACAGAGGACATAGGCTGGTTCATCATCAGCCCGCGTAGTCCAGGAAATTGAATTCTATTGTCATAATACCAGAGTTTGTCAGACTTGAAAATCCAGATTTATAAACAAGAAAGACTATAATAACAAGGGGTGCTTCATAAAGAGGGATGCCAAATTATTAACATGCCAGACTAGTTACATCTGTCCTTCAGGGCTCCCTAACCTGTGAGGCTTCTGGGGATGCCCTGTCTCCACCAGCTCTTTGTAAGGTCATATCTCTATCCAAAAGTTGCTATAAAACCAGATACAATGGTGCACACACTGGGGGTAAAGGAAGGAAGATTCGAAGTTCAAGGTCATCCTCGGCTACATAGGGAGAGTTTGAGGCCACCCTGGGATGGATATATGAGACTCTGAATCAAACAGGGTTTCTGTGTAAAGCCGGGTGTAATTCCCCACTACTCTAGAGGCTGATGCAGGAGGATTACAAGTTTGAGATCAACTGGACAACTTAGTAAGACCCTGTCTCAAAAGAAAACAGGACACCCAAGTGTGGTTACACACACCTGTAATCCCAGCATTTGGGAAATGGAGGCTGTGGGAGTAGGAGTTCAAAGCCAGCCTCAGCCACGTGGTAAGCTTGAGGCCAGCTGTGCAGCCAGCCTGGTAGAATAGGCTCCTTTTCCCCATCTAGTGTATGCTTTGCTGGTCTTCCCACAAGAGCATTTTCCTCCATCTGGGACAAAATAAAACAGATCCTCAGTCTCTGTGGTAGACCAGGGATCTCATTCTTTTAACTTAACCTTGAAATTTCACTCAGCATCTTCTCTTGAAGTCCTTATGGTGAACTTCCTTCTCTCTGCCTGACCCTGACCCTAGGTGGGTAAAGCAGGAGCTCATGACAGAAGCCTTAGGGTTGCGGCCTGTGGAAAGTAATGGCTTGTTCATTCATCGGCTGAAGGACGCTATTGGAAACAGATACAGTCAGTAATCTGATAAGTTACTGTGTTTACTGCTCTTTCAATGGTAAATTTGTTATTTCCAGAGCTTAGAAAAGAAACCAACAGCTAGGCAGTGTATTCAACCTTGGACTGTATCCCAAAGAAACCAGCTGATCAGATGCCGCCTCAGTGCGTGCTGTGAATTTTGGTAAAGTAAGATTAAGATGTACGTTTTAGCCAGAAAGTGGGGCTGGGCTCCCTCCCTCAGAAGCTGATCTCGGAGCCCATGCAGGAAGCAGCTCTGCTGCCTGACTCACTAGTTATTGCTGCGGACGCACGTCAGGGTCCCTCAGGTAGTTGTTAAAAATACACTGCCACCTAGGTTCCACCCAGAAAAGTCTGACCTGGGTTGTGTGGGGTGAGCTTGAGGTGAGTGGGTCTGCATTCTGCTGCCCTCTGGCATTGTCTGGGAGGCTGTTGATCCTCTGAGCCACACTGAAGAAATTGGGGTGCCTGGCACAGGAGTGTCTGCAGATCAGCCAGGTATCATCCGTGTTGGTGGACTCTGGGAGCCGCCTTGTTTGAAAGTGTCCCCAGATCACACTGTAGAATCGCCATTGGTTGGCTTAGGAGCACAGCATTGAGGTGCCTCTAAGTCAGGGGGCGGGGGGCAAGGAGCGTGAGTCACTGGGAGGGCCCTGGTTCACGTTCTCATTCCCTGGTCTGCTGCCTTTCCTTGCTGAGAGCTGGCCCAGAAATTCGTGGGAGTGATGCCGAGAAAGGTCTTGCCTAGCGGGAGGAGATAGAACAGTCCAGAGCAGGTGTCATCCAGACCCTTTCTGTCTGTGTCCCCAGCTTTGTGACGACAAACTGTGCTCTGCAGTTTTCGTCCCGTGGAATCCGGCCTGGCCTTACCACCGTCCTAGCTCGGAACCTGGACAAGAACACCGTGGGCTACCTGCAGTGGCGATGGGGTATCCAGTCAGCCATGAACACAAGCATTGTTCGGGACACCAAGACTTGCCACTTCACCGTTGCCCTGCAGGTGAGCTGAGGACGCCCGTCATGTCCCTCTCCCTGCAATCCACGAAGGGCACTGTGGCCGGACAGAGAGAAGCTGGTAGGAAACAGGCCCCCTCAGAGCAGCTGTTCCCCAGCTCCCACCACCGAGGGACACAGGCCTACTGTCGCCAGGGTTTCTTGTTTCCTGAGAGGCTAGTAAATTGCACTTTTATGGAAAGTCTCGGTGTTTTACAGTCGTGCGTTGTGTAGCGGTCCTGTCAACAACCTCACAGTAAGATTATATCCCCTAGTGACCAATCTTAGCTGCCTTGGTTTCTGTAGGTCCACTGGGGACCCTCAGTGACAAAATCACTGACTTTTCTCAGCGTGTCATGCCATGCTTGTGGCTGTACTGCTCTGCACAGCAGTACCCAGCACCCGTTGGACAGCTAGGCATTGTCTTTTCAGAATGTTGAAGTTGGACCTGCATCTCTTCCTCTCTCTCCTCAGCTAGGGATCCCTCACTCCTTTGCCTTGATTAGCTATCAGCACAAGTTCCAGGATGATGACCAGACACGTGTGAAAGGGTCACTCAAGTAAGTCTCAGCCTTGCCAACACAGGTGAGCTTGCTCTGTGGAGGGCTGTCAGTGTGGAGCCTGGTGTGGGGCTTTGTGCACACCTCACACTCACGATGCTCCCTGAGGGGCTCTCCTGCTGGAGAATCTCCAGGGTGTCCCATGAGTGGTGGGTGGACAGGAGTGGGGGAGTAGAGATCCAGACTGTTCTCCATGTGGGCTGTGGGTAGAAGGGACACAGCTGCTGACCGCTGTGCTCTGCCCCACAGGGCTGGCTTCTTCGGGACAGTAGTAGAGTATGGAGCGGAGAGGAAGATCTCCAGACACAGTGTCCTGGGTGCGGCCGTCAGCATTGGCGTCCCACAGGGCGTGTCTCTCAAAGTCAAGTAAGCTGAACCTGAGCCTGGCTCTTGCTGTCAGGGAATGCCTGACGGTAGTTTGTGCTTTGGAATCAATTCCTCGGTGTGCCATTGCTTCTCGCTCAGCTGCGTAAGCAGAGATGAGGGGAGTACTAGTCTAGCAGTGAGATAGTGCGGGCCCAGGCCCTGCCCCACCTTCCCTGGCTGTGTGGTTGTCCGCTGGGTAGGTCACACCTCACCAGTTCTGCCCAGTGGCCCTGTGGCTCCCCAGTGCCACCCTAGGCACCGCAATATCGGCTTCCCTTTGTGTGATTGCTTGGCGCATGCATTCCTTTCTCCAGCTTGCCCGGTTCTTCAGAAATGCTGGCTGAGCTTGCTCAGGGCTTTGTTTTGTTCTGTTTGACATAGGGTCTCACATGGCCAAGGCCAACCTGAAACTCCTGCTTCAGCTTTGCCAGTACTGAGATTAGACGTGTGCCCCACACCCAGCTCCCATTTGCTGGCTTTCTGTTTTACTGCAGTTGGGCTTCTTCCCTAGCCCTTTGCAGAAGCAGCCTTCTAAGTGCCAGTGGGCATTCTCCTTCCTATACAGAGAACGGCCCTCCATCCTCAGCCAGGTGCCCCAGTGGCCCTCCCATTTTAATACCTCTCTGCACTGGGATTCCAAGACACCAAGCTCCAGCTCTGGATTTTCTTCCTGGTTGTCTCTTCCTGCTCCCAAACCTCTACCCAGAGGCAACTCTGGGAGATTGTCCTGGTCTATGTGAGCTCTTATCCCAAGTGGCTCCATCTGGCCTCATGATTTTTAGTGCCTTCATCTATAGATGCTGGTATTTAGTGGACTCCTAGAGCCAGTGTCCCGTGAATACAGGGGCCAACTTTACTGTATCTCCAGCTTCTGTCAGTAAAGTGCTTGCTCGAGAACCTAAGCTGATCCCCAGAACCCATGAAGAAGCCAAGTGAGGTGACACACTTGTGACTGCTGGGGGTGGAGGGGGTGGAAACAGAGTGCTCCTTGGGACTCACTAGCCAGCTAGCCTTCTAAGCGAGTTCCAGGCCAGTGATAGATCTCATCTTTAATAGCACCCTAGAAATGACACGAGGCCGTCCTCTGACCTCCATACTCAGAACACACACACGCACACACATATACGCAATAAAAAGAGTTCGAGGCCAGCCTAGGCTACACATTAAGACCCTGTCTCAGTAAATTTTAAAATAAAGTATCTGGGGCCCCGAGATGGCTCATTGCATAAAGTGCACTGTACATCCAGCACCCTTGTACAGAGCTCTGCTTGCACATCGCCCCAGCTGGCCTGGAAGTCACTATGTAGACCACGCTGGCCTTGAACTCACAGAGATCCGCCTGCCTCTGCCTCCGAGTGCTGGGATTAAAGGTGTGCACCACCACACCCGGCAGGCTTGCACATTTTAACAGCATTTCAGACGACCCTTCCTCTGCCTTCCGGTACACGTGCCCTTCTGACATCTCGGATACCTCAGTAAAGGACAGCTCCAGCTTTCCAGTGGCTCCATCCAAACACCTTGGCATTGCCCTTAATCTTCTGTTCTCTCAGTCCAAATCTGACATCCCATAGTCACCTCATATCTCTACAGAAAGCCTGTCCTGAACCCAGGGTTTCTCGAGGACTCTGCTGCCTCCCTCTGGTCTGTTACAGCTCTGCTCCTCATCTTTGTGTTCCCCGCAGTAATCCCGTCAGCCCCATCAGCTGTGTCACTCTCCTCAACACCTCAGCGTGAGGACCGGGTAGAGCCCATCGGTAGAGTGCTGGCCTAGCATATGGGGATCCCTGGGGCAACCCCAGTACCAGATGAAGCCCTCGCTGACTCCTCTGTTGAGGGCAAGGGCAAGGTTCTTCTGGTACAGCCCCTCACTGTCCTAACTGCTGCTTCCACCTGCTCCAGCTGCTCCTGAGGCACATCAGTTCCCACCTGGCCCTTGCTGACCTTCCAGCTCCACATGGCTGGTTCTTATGCTGGCCTCTTACCTCAGGGTAAATGTGGCCTGACTGCTAAAGCCATCACCTTCACCCTACAGCACCGCCTGGTACCTGAGTGGACCTCGGCCTATACGCTCTGAGCCGCTGTGTCTGTTTCAGAGGTCATAGCTGAGCAGCTTAGCAAGCTCAGAGACAGCTCCAGTCCTCCACCGTTGGAGACGATTCAGTAAAGGGTGATGGGCCAGAGCTGCTGCATTCTGATCCCCCTCTTCATCTGATTGGGAGCACTGCTGAGTGCACAGGTTGCTAAGGCACTGCACTCCAATCGCAGGTGTTTCGGTACTTTTGTGCAGATAACATCTGAATCGGATTCTTGTCACAAGGCTTGTCACCGTGAGCTTTTTGTGATAGACTTTCCAAACTTAATTTTTATATTGATTAGATGTCCTTTACCCATAACACTTGTGACCATAAATATATTGAATCTGAGACTTGGGAATATTTGTATGCACAATGAGGTGTCTTGGGGGTGGGACCCAAGTTTAAATTTTCTTTCAGAAATAGAGGGCTTTAAAATTTTTTATTTCACCTTCTGTCAGCATTTTGTAAATGGCTTTTCAAGTGTCATCTAAGTGTCCGATTGTTAGCATAAGTTTGTTCATATCATCTGCATGTCTTTTACTTATGGTGAGTTAATTGATAATTTGTGTACTTTCCAACTTCATTTTCTTTATTTTTAGGGTAGGGTCAAACCAGTTTATTCAGAGCTTGAGGGTAGAGAGGAGCTGACATGGTCCACAAAATTGCGTATCCTTAAGAGAGCAGATCTTCCTTCCACCTCATCACTAAAAAGCTATTTATTTTTTTAGACAGAGTGTATAGCCCTGGCTGGCCTGGAACTTGCTATGTAGATCAGGCTGACCTTGAACTCACAGATCACCTGCCTTTGCTGGGATCAAACCTCTGCACGGGCACACCCAGCCTTACATCTTTATTATATATAATTTTTTTTAATTACATATACTGTATTGCTTGCATATATGAATGCACACGTCAGCCAATGCCCACAGAGGTCAGAAGAAGACGTCAGATTCCCTGGAACTGGAGCTACAGATGGTTGTTAGCCATGTGGGTGCTGGGAGTCGAACCTGGGTCCTCTGCAAGAGCAGTCAGTGCTCTTAGCCATCTCTCCAGCCCTCCATCTTTTTCTTGAATCAGTTTGTCTGGTACTTGGTTTTGGTTTTTGTTGCTATTGTTTTGTTCTGTTACTGTTTTCCAAAAAACTCATTTTTTTTCTCTCTTTTATTTCTGTTGCGTTTCACTGGCTTGTAATCCTTTTATTCCTTTTATACTGATTTTGGTTTCTCTTTGCCTTTTTTTTTTTTTTTTTTTTTCTTTCCTGTTTTGCTTGAAACAGGCTCCCACATAGACTCAGCTGGCCTCAAACTCACCATGTAGCTGTGGCCAGGTTCAAGCTCCTGACCCTCCACCCTCCACCTCCTGAGTGCTCAGATTACAGGCATACACCATAATGCCCACCTTTTTTTCTTTTTCTCTTTTTTTTCTGAGATAAGGTCTTGCTCTGTAACCAAGGCAGGCCTGAAATGCACAGCAATCCTGCCACCAGGCCTGCCTGGCTGAGACCTTTCTTTTCTAGTAATAACATTTTAAGACAAAGTTCCTTTTAAATACTACTTCATCTCATACATTTGATAATGTTGTGTTTTCTTTATCAGGCAATTCAAAGTATTTTCTAGTTTCATTAGAAATACATTGCTCACTGGGCGTGGTGGTGCACACCTTTAATCCCAGCACTTGGGAGGCAGAGGCAGGCAGATCTTTGTGAGTTCGAGGCCAGTCAGGTCTACATAGTGAATCCAGGACAGCTGAGGCTACAGGGAGACTCTGTCTCAAAAAAAAGAAAAAAAAAAAAGTTGGACAAATACATACTCCTAAATGAGCTGGGAGTCAGTTCAGTGGCAGAGCACATGGTTAGCATGTACAAGGCCTCAGGTTCCACTCCCAACACCAAAAGAGTAAAACGGGAAACTTGGCAGTGCCTTCTGTTTGGTCTGCCTGCCTCTAACTGCTGCCCAGTTCTTGACGTCTTTGTTTTAAAATAAAACAAAAGCAAGCAAAGGCTAATCTGAGACCCAGTTGGTAGCACAGAGGGAGACTGGGACAGGAGGAGTTCAAGGCCACCCTGGACAACTTAGTGAGACACACCTCCTCCCAATCCTCCATCTCAAAACATGAATAAAGTCCTTGTTTTGTTTAAGATGTTTTTATTTTTTATGTTTATATGTGGTGCCTACAGAGGCCAGATGATTCAGAGCCCCTGGAATTAGAATTATAGGTAGTTATGAGCCATCTGGTATGGGTGCTGGGAACCAAACTCTGGCCCTCTGCAAGAGCACAAGGAGCCCTAATCACTGAGCCATCTCTAGCCCCAATCCTTATTTTTATATGTAGTCAGGCTTCCGTTGCTCTCTCTGGGACCATTAATCCAGGAAGTCCTCAGCCTTTACGGGGCCTCCTTAACTTGGTAACTTCTGAAATCTTTTGAGCTGTCTCCAGGACTTCATGCCTCTCCTCACAGACCTTTGATTCAGCATAGCCATAGAGCATGGAGTATGTGCATTTGCTCTGGTGAAGCTTTCGCTTATGCTTTGTCCTTGAGGTCAGTGCAGAGTGGGACCTTCAGTCAAACTAGTCAACTCCTGAAGCTAGGCTTCACAGCAGGGAATGGGAGAGGGTAGCCTGTTAAGCTGGCAGGCCACACGCTCCCTGTAGTTGGTGTGCGGGCACCTGAGAGGTTCTTCCCGTGGCTGAGACCCCCTGACTCTCCCTGAAGACTCACTTGGGTGTTTTGTGTGTGTTCATTCCCCAGGCTGAACAGAGCCAGCCAGACCTACTTCTTCCCTATTCACTTGACGGATCAGCTCCTGCCCAGTGCCGTGTTCTATGCCACCGTGGGGCCTCTCGTGATCTACTTCGCTATGCACCGTCTGATCATCAAACCTTACCTCAGGGCTCAAAAAGAAAAGTGAGTTTAACACTGAGAAACCTGTGCCTCCAACTCCTCCTCTAAACTAGAGACAGTAGGAGAAGCTGCTCCGTGGAACATTAGGCTAGACAATGCCAGCAAAGAGCTTAGCATGGCTTCCGAGACCTGCCAGGGCCTCAGTAAACCTTGGCCAGCAGCAGCGGCAACAGACAGCTACCCCTTCCTTTGCCAGTCCCATTTTCAGAAAGGACGAGATATTAGGGCCTGGAGAGATGCTCAGCAGTTAACAGCTCTGGCTGCTCTTGCAGAGGACCCAGGTTCGATTCCCTGCACCCACATGGTGGCTAACAGCCATCCATAACTCCAGTTCCAGGGGAAAACAACATCCAGTTCTGAACTCCGAGGGCTTTGCATGATGCAGGTGCACCTACCTACGTGCAGGCAATACACCCACACATAAAATGTTTTAAAAATTTTTTTTGGTCTTTTTGAGACAGGGTCTCCCTGTAGCCCCAGCTGTCCTGGAACTCACTATGTAGACCAGGCTGGCCTCGAACTCACAGAGATCCACCTGCCTCTGCCTCCTGAGTGCTGGGATTAAAGGCGTGTGCCACCATGCCCAGCTAAAATTAAAAAAATTTTTTTAAAAAGTAAAATATTTAGCCAGGCGTGGTGGCACACACCTTTAATCCCAGCACTCGGGAGGCAGAGGCAGGGTATCTCTGTGAGTTCAAGGCCAGCCTGGTCTACATAGTGAGTTCCAGGACAGCTGGGGCTACAGGGAGACCCTTTCAAAAAGACCAAACAAAAAAAAAAAAAAAGATAAAATATCTGAAAAAAGAAAGAAGTGGATGTGCCTTCCATGACGCAGCTCTGCGCCGTCCCTCAGAACAGTCTCGTTGCCTTCAGAGGAGTCAGCGCTTCTCTTGCACTGAGCTCTAGTGTAGTGAGTGGGTAATGTTCCAGGGCGGTGCTACCACAGTCATGGAAAGCTTGCCTTTGCTTTTCTTGTTGGGAACCCACTGAGCCTAAACTGAGCAGGCGTATCCCTCAGAAACACAAGGTGGTATAGAGGTCCTCTGTGAGCATCCAAGCTACTGGGGCACTGAGCCAGCAAGGAGGGATGGGGCTCCTCTTCCGGCTGCCTCTGGCAGCTGCCTTCCTACAGTCTAGGCACCCAGTTCCCATGGAAGTTTAGGGCTCGGAACACAGAATGTGTGCTGGGCGTGTGTTCTGATAGGACTCATGTAGGCTGACTCCGAGTCCCTGTACTTTGCTACAGCAAAGTGTTGGGGTTTTTTTTAATATTTTATTATTTTTATCTTATGTGTTTGAGTGTATTGCCCACATGTGTCATGCAGTGCCACGGAGGTCAGAAGAGGGCTTCGGATTCCCCTGGAACTGGAGTTAAAGATAGTTCGTAGCCGCCATGTGGGTGCTGGGAATTGAACCCGGGTCCTCTGCAAGAGAAGTCAGTACTCTTAAACACTGAGCCATCTCTCTAGCCCTTGCAAGAGAAGTCAGTACTCTTAAACACTGAGCCATCTCTCTAGCCCTGGCAAAGTGTATTTTTATGTATCTAAAGTGATATGAATTATACCTGCCCAAAGTGCACTTTAAAACTCTTCAGAAGGTTAGCAGAATCTCCCGAGATCCCTGCCTCGTGGAGCCTTCCTCCCAAGGAGACAGGCGGGGCGCAGACTCAAAGGAAGCTGCACAGGCCTGAGGCTCTCAGGGAAGTACCTTCTAAAGTCCCACACAGAAACCTAGTTCCTATCCCGTGGTGCATGCTGGGCTCAGGTCCAGCAGGGGGCCCTGTTGGCTCACTGTGACACGTGTGCCTTGTGCTTCTCTCATGAAAGGGAATTAGAGAAGCAGAGGGAGAGCACCGCCAGCGACATCCTGCAGAAGAAGCAAGAGGCCGAAGCTGCTGTAAGTGCGCCGTGCGGGGCAGAGCCCAGAACGCCAGGACGCGCTCATTCGCCCTCTCGCTCTCTCTCTCTGTCTTCCTCTTGCCCTCACCCCCTCCTTTTCTCTCTGTCTCTGTCTCCTCTCTCTCTTCTCTCTCTCTCTGGCTCATCCTCCTGAAGCTGGCACTGTGAAAGAAGCTCCTTCACACCCAGTGCTGGTCTTGGCACCTTAGGTCTTTTCTTTTCCAACAAGCTTTACCACTGAGCCTTTCTGTGGCCTGTGGGGGATGTTCTGGAGACTTCAGACTCTGCCTGTGAGAGAAATACAACCACCAAAGCCTAACAAGGTTTTACAGTGGAAGTACTGCCCTCCTTTCTTCCCTCTACGCACTGCCTTTCATGGGACATGAGGGAGCAGAAGCATCCTGGCTAGCTACAGTGGGATTCCTGGTGACCAGAGAAAGGGCGGAAAGGCACCTGGGAGCATGCTGGGGGCCAGGCATGTATGTGCCCAGTGGAGGGCAGTGCATCGCCCTGCCCACTGAATAACACAGCAGTGCAGCATAAGACACTGGTCTTTTTTTGGGGGGGGGGGGGTCTTTTTGAGACAGGGTCTCCCTGTAGCCCCAGCTGTCCTGGAACTCACTATGTAGACCAGGCTGGCCTTGAACTCACAAAGATCTGCCTGCCTCTGCCTCCCAAGTGCTGGGATTAAAGGTGTGTGCCACCACACCTGCCAACACTGGTCTTTTTCAAGAAGAGTGGAGGGGCCATGGTGGCTCACACCTTTAATCCCATTGCTCAGGAGTCTGAGGCAGGCAGACCCCTGTGAGAGCAAGGCCAACCTGGTAGAGAAGTGAGTGCCAGGGATACAGGGAGACCTTATTTCAAAGAAAGAAGAGGTGGAGGAAGAGTGGGGGTGCCTTGCTGCTCAGGTGACCTGTCTCTGAAGCAACATCTCACTGTACCACAGACTAGCCCCAAACTCATTATACAGCCCAGGTTAGCCTTGAACTCATCACTGTGTATCTATTTTATTTATTTATTTATTTTGTCTTTTTGAGACAGGGTCTCCCTGTAGCCCCAGCTGTCCTGGAACTCACTATGTAGACCAGGCTGGCCTTGAACTCACAGAAATCAGCCTGCCTCTGCCTCCCAAGTGCTGGGATTAAAGGCATGCACCACCACGCCCGGCATGTCTCTTCATTTTTAAATACAGTATATTCAATAATTTCTCATCCGGTCACTCGCCTATGCAGAATCTCTAGAAAGAAATCTGAGGTGCTGTCCCCTCCCAGTGGAATCACTATGGGGGTTACACCATGTCGGTGACTCCTCACGCTGCCTGTAGAGCTGAGGGCTTCAAACCTTCGGATTGTTGAGCTGAGCTCACAGGGCCTGCTTCTTCCCTACGGTGTCCTAGCGCATGGCAGGCACGGGCACAGACTGGGTGTCTGCCATTCAAGCCCAGGGCCCGACCCGCTCACCTTGTCCTCTCAGGTCCGGCTGATGCAGGAATCTGTCCGAAGAATAATTGAAGCAGAGGAGTCCAGAATGGGTGAGAAGATGTCCTCTCTTGGGCTGGACTGGGCACTGGGGGTCTCGAGGGTTCCAAGGGAAGCCAGCCCTGCCTATTCCTGACTGATCGGTCCACAGGGCTCATCATTGTGAATGCCTGGTACGGGAAGTTTGTCAACGACAGGAGCAGGAGGAATGAGAAGGTGAAGGTGATTGACGTTACGGTGCCCCTGCAGTGCCTAGTGAAGGAGTCGAAGCTGATCCTCACGGAGGCCTCCAAGGTACAGCTTGACCGTCTGGCCCTGTGCTCACCCGAGCTACAGGGATGGCCACCTGGGGCTTAAGTCCATTTGGCAAGGACAGCCAGACCTACGGTGGGATGCTGCCTGGAACCTGCTTCCACTTCCCCTGAAATCACTCAGCAAGTATCCACAGAGCTCCCACCAGGTGCCAGGAAAATAGCAAACAGCCCACACCTGCCATGCCCCAGAAAGAGGATGTGGACACTCCAGAAGAGCCCTGGCTCCCCAAGAAGTCAGACCTCAGCTGAGTCAGTATATGCTGAGGAGGGACACATACTGAGGGCCAGTCTGGCCTAGGAACCCTTTGGAAAGGTCATTTCTTCAAGCTTCAAAGTTCGCATCCCTGTCCGCTGTGCCCAGGTAATGGCAGAGGGAAGCAGTACAGGCTTGGACTGACCCTCTGTTTGTTGCAGGCTGGGCTGCCGGGGTTCTATGACCCGTGCGTGGGGGAGGAGAAGAACTTGCGAGTGCTTTACCAGTTCCGAGGGGTGCTGCACCAGGTGATGGTGCCTGACGGCGAGGCCCTGAGGATACCGAAGCAATGTGAGTAGCCGCCCTGGCGGTCTCCTTCCCTGTAACAGGCAGGGTCATTGGTGACAGCTGAACATGTGAGCTGACAGCCACTCAGAGGACCAGACCTGCTGCCCAGGGCTCGCCTGGAGAAGCAGCATCGGCCCTGTCACAGATGGAGTTGAAGTTTGCTCTTGGCCAGGCACGGTGCCTCTCACCTGTACTGCAAGCATTCAGGAAGCTGAGGCCAGATCAGGAGTGGCAAGCCATCCTGGGCTACACTGAAGACCCGGGGCATCCCGAGCACAGCTGGGAGGGGGTGGGAGGGGGTGCTTCTAGGCAGGGTGCTTGGGGCCCAGCCCCCGACCGTGGATTGCTGAGCTGCTGTGGCAGGAAGTGGAGGTGCACTCCCTTTTCTTGTGTTTTTGGAGCCGGTCTTCCTGTGGCCCCAGCTGGCCTAGAACTCTCCATGTAGATTAGAGAGCCACCTCCCTCTGCTTCCCAGGTGCCCGGATTAAAGGCATGTGCCACCACCTCGAGAAGCACTGCCTTTTGATAGTCTGACGTGGTCTTTTCCTTTCTAGCTCACAGGATCGATACAGATGGATAAGCTGCTTGGGAACCTGATTCAAAAGAGGCTGCAAAAATCTTTTCCTGGGAGTCTACAAATTTGGAAGCAGGGAAAACCCGGGCATCTGATGTTTTTAGTTTACTCGAGGTGGCGCTGTACCAGTTATGTGAAGGGACATGCAGACACCCCAGCTCTGTGGGTGCTGTGGGTAGGACTGAGGAGCCCCACCCTGGCCAGACCACACCACCACGTCTTTTCCCAGGGATCATGTTCCTGGAGGGCAGGGCCTGAGCTGACTTCAGGTTACCCCACCCCCGGTCCTTAGCACGAGTGCCTGCACCTAGTAGCCCTCGGTCTGGAGGTGTTTGGAACATCCTTCCCTCACACAGGACTGCTCTTCCTGAAGCCCACACTGCACATGGGAAATGCGGAAAGGAAGGTGTGCCACATACCGGGGCCTCTGCTCCGTCGGCTACCCAGCTTCCTCTGCAGAAATATTAGAGTGAACTGGAGAGCACTGCGAGTTTATAAAACTGCTTTTTATCTGAGAACAAACGGGTTTGGACACTGGTCTCTTCTCTTCCCTCCCCCACCCCCACGTCCAGTGCTTCTCAAATCATTCCTCCAGCCCCTGGCTTGGAACTGGTATGACCCCAGGGTGCGCGGTCAAGGCATTCTGCCTGTGTTTCTGAGATGTCCTGCGGCCAATGGACACTGAACTCATGTCCCTTTCACAGCAAACTCAAGGCACTACCCCAGCCTGCCCTGCCCAGCCTACACCTCTAGATGTTGGAGTTAGAGCCTTGCGAGGACAGGTGGGGCAGGATGGCCCGGGGCCACATGTGTGCCAAACCCAAGGTTGGCCCAGGCAGCGGTGCCTCTAGTGAGCACCCAGCAGGTGGCGCCATTGTTCGCCAAGCCAGGCCCTCATGAACCATCTAGCATGGTGTCTCAGCTCCCAGACCCCATCTGTCCACTGGCTGGATTGCCCCTGCACAGGAAGCTGTTAGCTCTGGTGAGCAGAGCCTGCGTGGGCAGTGGTTACGACCACGGGCCCTGGAGGCTGAGGCCCTCTGGTCTTGGCTCTGCAGCAGCTGCTGCTAAAGCCAAGCATCACCCCACACTGGTAATCGCTAATGACCCTTTCCTCCAGTTTTTCAAAGCAGTTCACTGTCTTAATTCTGTGATATTTATCCCCACTTTTTAAAAGGGGACATTTCTCTGACTGCCCCACAGACTGACGTGTGTTCTGCACCCAGTTGCATGAGCCTCGACTTGGTGGCATGTGGTTCCCTGGGCACGGCTGCTCCTGTTGGAAGCTGACTGTACAGTGGCACTGCCCACAATAAACTTGTCCTGAAAGCCGAGGCTGCTTCTGTCCATCTGTGTGCACTTGTTCAGGAGGAAGCAGCAAGTGACTGCCCCGTCCCAGGTGCCTTGTTCCCGTTGGTTTGGACCACATCTTAAAACTTGAAGCTGGGGTTCCAATTGTCTGTGCTAAATGTTTGCCTGAGAAATAGACCAAGATTTTGTTTCTAGCTACATAGTCCCTGGAGCTCAGCCCGAGTGCTGAGACTACAGGTGTTTCCTACCACTCAGTTATTACGGTCAGTTACTCTGTAGCCAAAGGGAGTCACACCCTGCCTGTCCTTTATCAGGGTGCAGGTGGTCTCAGCAGGAAAACCAACCAACCAACCAGCCTAAGTGATGAAGAAAAGCCTGCAGTGTAAAGACGTTTATTCCATGTTCATGTAAACCAGCCCAGGAGAGGTGTCGTAGGCTGCCTGGATCACACTGCTGGCTGCCAGGCTGATGGAGGGGACCCCTCACCCTGCCATCAGAGCGGAGTGGTCTCTGAGGAAAGAGACCACATGGATATGCATGTCCCTGGAGGGGGTGCCCTGGGAGGGGAACCCCTTCCCTCAGGAAGTAGCTCTGACAAACTGGGCTAGCTCCTCACACTTGGTCGCTGTGCTGCAAGGACAGCTCCACAGCCACCAGCCTCAGCCCAAGTGGCCCAAGCACATACCTCTCAACGCCACAGCACTTGGACCCCTCACCTGGTGGCCACGTGGCCCCCACAGGTCTCAAGCCCACCCTACCAGCATCAGCAGCAGGTGGAGATGTGCACAGCACAGCCCCAAACCACCACCTGCACGGGTGTTGCTGCCACCCCCAATCAGCTCCAGCTCAGCTCCACTGTGGTGGTGGGACTCCAGGCCGTGGGCCCCGCTGTCCCTCTCTGTGGGCACGCAGACGGCTGCACATCTTCCGCATCAGCAGCCTCTGGGCCTTCAAACGCCTTCGGAGCTTCTCATTTTCCTTCAGCGTGAGGAAGAGTTTTTTTTTCAGGGCATCCAAATCCAAAAGGGCGTAGCTGTGATCAGACGGCTGCCCTGGAAGGGGCCTTCTCAGCCCCATGGGGCCAGTGGGCCCACCAGGGGCCTCCGTTGCTTCTGTTCTCTGTGTTAATACCTGAGGACAGAGGTCAGCGAGAGCTAAGAGCCACCCGGTGGCCCTGGGTCAGCAGACTGGTTCAACCCAGCCCTGGCACCCACTTCCCCTGCTCTCCTGAAACCTAGATGTCTTGGTGGTCTCACTGGGAAGCTCTAAGTTCGAGGCCACCCACGCAGCTGCCCCGTGCCACTGGGTGCTCTGGGCACTGGGTCTCTTTCATTTTGTTGGTAGCAGAATCGCCTAGTGCTGAGACCACCTAGGACCCCAAGTCTTACCCGTTTCCCCGGGCCTTCGGTGTTTAGAGGCAGCTGAAACTCTTCAAGCGTGGCGTCCATGTTCCTTCCTGGGCTGTCCCCACCAGCCACCGCCTCGGGACAGACCTGGGAACAGGAGGAGGTGTCAGGCCAGCCGAGCTGGCAGACACCAGATCCCCATGCAGCTGCCGCTGTCTGTCCCTGAGTAATCCCTGAAAGGGCTACAAGCTGCTGCAATCAGCCACCAGCCTATGACCCACTGAGGTCTGATGCCAGAAAGCTACGGAAGCCTGAGGCCACAGTTTGCCTCTGAGGAGGGCATCCTAAACTCAAGTTTAAGACTGGTTTCTCTTCAGGTTGTACAAATTTTTGATCCTTTTTTTTTTTTGAGACAGTCTCCCTGTAGCCCCAGCTGGCCTGGAACTTGCTATGTAGACCAGGCTGGCCTCGAACTCACAGAGATCCACCTGCCTCTGCCTCCCAGGTGCTGGGACTAAAGGTGTGTGCCACCATGGCCAGCACTTTTGACCTTTTTCTAAACTCAAGCTTGGGAGGACATGGGGCAAAGCTTGCAGGCCAGCTGGGCTAGAGCACTGCTGCCTGAGCCATCTCAGCTCCAGTGTCATCACATGTGTGGTGGGCAGCAATGCACAGTGTCACTGTGATGTGTAGGGGAACCCGGTGCAGACTCACCTCTCTCTCAGGGGAGGCATCTCCTCGCGTGCCAGCTGGGTCTGTGTTCTCCCTCACCAACTGCAAGACAGGTGCACAGAGCTGGTTCAGACAGGACACAATGGGCAGCCTGCTTACCCCAAGAAGGGATGCAGCCACTGGCCTGGGACACCTGTCCCCTTGCTCCACCTGGAATGGTACACACCTAGCAGTACTAACTGAATTAACTAACCTGGAATGTGATAAACACCAGGATCAAGAGCAACTTGGGGAGGAAAGCCTTTATTTCATCTTCTAAATCCAGGTCACCATCTATCTTTGAGGGAAGTCAGGGCAGGGGCTCAAACAGGAACTGAAGCAGAGATCACAGGAGCGGTGTTCCCGGCTTGCTCAGCCCACCTGCCCAGGGATGGCACCACAGGCTGCATCCTCCGACATCAACCATCAAGAAAATGCCCCACAGACATGGCCACATGCCAGCCTGACCTGGGAAATTCTTCAGTTCAGGTTCCTTCTTCCCAGATGACTGCTTGTGTTGAGTAGACAACACCTAACCAGCCTAGCTCCCCTTCACTTTCTCTAAACATATTCCCAAACCCGGGATCACCGGCTCATCAACAGGTCCCTAAAGCAGCAAGGACCTGAATCATTGCATCACCCTGGGGCCTGACACCCATCCTCAATCAACATTTGTGTCAATGTTTGTGAATGGAAAGCCTGTGTCACCGTTCCAGGCACCACACCAGAGGGGGTGTAAACAGCTTGCCACTGACCTGAGGACTAAAATGAGGCTGTGGACTTTCTGAAGCCTCTGTCCAGTCCACTGCTCCCGGGTCTCCTTCCTGCCCCAACACCCTTCCATCCTCCTGACCCAACTGCGGCCTTGCACTATGTCACTGCAGGCCCAGCAGCACAGGGTGAGGTATGTGGCCTAAACTGTGCCCCGGGCTCGAACTTTTGGAAATCCTCCTGCCCCAACCTCCTGAGTGCTGGGATTACAGGTATGTACCAACACACTAGGGAGTTTGGTTTGATTTGAGACAGAGTCTCATGCACCTCACATGCCTCAAATTCCAAAGATGACTTTGAAACTTCTCCTCCTTCCTCCACCCCCTGAATGCCGGGGTTACAAGTGCGCATGCACAGCCACAGCCCAGTTTCATGTGGTGTTGGGGATCTAACCCAGGGCTTCATGCACGCTAGGTAAGAACTCAAATGAGTTACAATCCCATTCCCCAGCATGATTTAGCTTCAAAGGAGCTTTAAATTACTTTTTCTTTTTTGGTTGTTTTGAGCCAGGGTCTCCCTGTAGCCCCAGCTGGCCTTCATCTTCCAGAGATCCACCTGCCTTTTAGACAGTGTCTCGTGTACCCCAGGCTAGCTACCCTTGAACCTAGAGGATGACTTTGAACTTCTGATCCTCCTGCCTCTGGCTCCCAAGTGCTGGGATTACAGGCATGCACCACCACACCCAATTTCTGTGGTGCTAAGAGTTGAACCCAGGGCTCCTTACATACTAGGTAAGCACTGTACCAGGGCTGGAGAGATGGCTCAGCATTAAGAGCACCGGCTACTCTGGCAGAGGATCTGGTTTCAGTTCCCAGCACCCACGCAGTGGTTCACAAAGTCTGTAACTCCAGTTTCAGGGGATCCAGTGCCCTCTTCTGGTGTATACATGGTACACTTGCATGCAGGCAAAACACTCAAGGGCATAAAATTAATAAATTTTCTTTTTTTTTAATTAAAAAAAAATTTTTTTGGTCTTTTGAGACAGGATCTCCCTGTAGCCCCAGCTGTGATGGAACTCACTATGTAGACCAGGCTGGCCTTGAACTCACAGAGATCCGCCTGCCTCTGCCTCCCAAGTGCTGGGATTAAAGGCATGCACCACCACACCCGGCCCTAGCTACTTCTTTTTAAGCTCACTTTCCCTGAAATGCCTCCCCCAAACCCCACTGGCAAATCAAGGCAGGTTGAATGTGACATTAGTGTCCTACCTGTGTGGGGTCCTGAAAGGCGAACTCGGTGGGCACAGCATTGTGCTTCAGGTTCTTACGGTTCCCGAAGGCACTGAAGCACTCAGGTCTGAAGTGCTCAGAGCAGATGACCGTGTGCTGCTTGGGCTTGAAGCCGATCCGGCCAATGTTCAGCACCCACTCCTTCAGCAGCTCCGGACGGCTGAAGGGGAACCTGTGTTCCATGGGACAGCTTTGGGAACTCAGCTATCCTTTCCTTAAATCGTAACTAACATCTGGAAGCTTCTCTCATGGCTGCTATTGGCAAACTCAATGGAAACCCAAGGTCATGAACCTGGCCCAAGAGTCCAAGTGAGCTGCACTTCCTAAGAAATGTACCAAGAGCTATATCTTGTTCCTTCAAGAGCCCTGAACCTGTGCCAGGCCACTGCAGTGGGTAAGGCCAAGTTCCTTCACTACAAAGCCTCCACTCCTGCAGTAAAGCAAGCAGAGGTGGACTGTGGGGGCTGTGGCAGGAGGAAGCCCTGGGGTGGTCAGGGCCCACTAAGGTGACATCTGTCCAGACCCTGTAAGCAGGAAGGCTTCACAGAGGACAGCAAGGGCTGGGGGTGGGAGTGATACAGGTCTAGTCAGGGCACCTGGAGCAAGATGGACCATACCATATAGGGCTTCAAGCAGATAAGTGTCCCTGCAAGTTCTGGGTGAGAAGAGATTGGAGGGGGGGGGGGCTGCTATAGAGAGAGCACCAGGCAGTGAGACCCAGGTGTGAGCCAGAGGCAGTGCTGAGGGCAGGGGCACTGAGTACCAGGTGGTGCTGAGACGGCGACTCAAGTCTATGACCCCAGCACTTGGGAGGCTGAGAAAGGGGGACTGCTGTGAGTCAAGGGCAGCCTGAGTTACAAAATGAGACAGCAAGATTTGCCTGTAGATCCCAAAACAAAGGGAAGGAAGGAAGGAGCTTCATGTTTGCCATGGAGGAGGCATCCAGGAGGGTGAGTAGAAGCTGCTGTGTGTGTTACTTGTGAAGTTAAGGCACTCTCCAGACTGTCCAAGTGTAGAAACTGGGGTGTATATTAGGTGTGAAGTGAAGGAACTCTTCAGACTCTCAGGTGCAGGTGTGGCAGATGGGCACATGTGCCTGGGATGCCCCTGTGTAGCCTATTAGTCTTGATGAAATCAACACTTGGGAGCTGCCACAGACCCCTCCACCATGAGCACTCCAACACTCTGCTGTAAATTCAGAGGACCCACCAAAGGAGACAAAGAAGGGAGATCTAGGCCAGGTGTGGTAGCACACACCTTTAATCTTGGCAGAGACAGGCAGATCTCTGTGAGATGGAGACCAGCCTGGTCTACATAGTGATTTTCAGGCCAGCTGGAACTACAGGGAGACCCTGTCTCAAAACAAAAAGGAGTGGGGAGGGGAGGGATTTATGATGAAGGTGGAAACAGGCCCTAGGAGCCATATGAGAAGACACCAGTTGTGTCAAATGCTATAGAGAGGTCGATTAAGGCAGGGGATATGAAAATAGCAGGGAAGCCAGGTTTGGTGAATTCAGCACTCAGAGGACAGGAACATCAAGAATTCAAGGCCATCCTGGGCCACATAAGGCCTTCCCTCTCTCAAAAAAGAAAAAATAAATAAAATTAGAAGGAATACAGGAAAACATGAAATGGGCATACATGATCAAAGTACATGATAAACACAGATGAAAATGTCCTTGGGGAAGCCCATCAGTATGCACAATGAATATACAGCAACCAAACAATTAAGCCCAGCAGGATGGCTCAGCAGGTAAAGGCACTTGCTGCCAAGCCTGAGTTTGGGTCCCCAAGACCACATGGTGAAGGAGACAACAGACTCCTGCAAGTTGTCCTCTGACTGCACACATGCACTGGTATGGGAACCCACATATGTACACAAACACAAATAAATAAATGTAATTTTTAAAATAAGTTTTCCCAGGTATGGTGGCACCTTTAATCAATAGGTGGATCTCTGTAAGTTCAAGGTTAGCCTGATCTACGTGGAGAGTTCCAGGCCAGCCAAGGCTACATAGTGAGACTGTCTCAAAACAGAAAACTAAAAAAGATAAAGACAAGGACAGGGCCAGGAGAGTGCTCAGAAGCAAGACACCTGTCTACTATTCCTAAGGCCCTGAGTTCCATCCCCAGCACCAAAATAAAAGTTTGCCAGACAAGCCGGATGTGGTGGCACATGCCTTTAATCCCAGCACCTGGGAGGCAGAGGCAGGCGGATCCCTGTGAGTTCAAGGCCAGCTTTGTCTACATAGAGAGTGCCAGACCTGCTGAGGCTACAGGGAGACCCTGTCTCAAAAACACCAAAAAAAAAAAAAAAAAGGTTGCCAAATGTACTGGATGCCAGGCATGCCAACATTTGAAAGACTGAGGTTGGAGGGTTTCTTCAAGTTCAAGGCCAGTTTGGGCTACACAGTGAGGTCCAGGTCAGCAGGACCCTGTCTCAAAGGAAAAGAGAAGGACCAGTGAGATGGCTCAGCAGGTAAGGGCACCTGCTTCCAAGCCTGACAATCTGAGTTTGATCCTTGGGACTCACTAGCTCCTATAAGCTGTCTTCCGACATATGTTACAAGGTGCCACCTTCCAGAAATAAATCAGGGAGCTGAAGAGACGGCTCAGTGGTTAAGAGCACTGGTTGCTCTTGCAGAGGACCTGGGTTGAAATCCCAGCACCCAAGTGATGGCTAACAGCCATCCATTAACTCCAATTCCAAGGGATCTGACACCCCTGTCTGTCCTCCACAGGCATTGCATGACATGGGTGCACTTACACACATGCAGGCATATCATATCACTCATACACAAAAAATAAGGTGGTGTTTTTTTTGGTCTTTTTTTTTTTTCGGTCTTTTTTTTTTGAAACAGGGTCTCCCTATAGCCCCAGCTGTCCTGGAACTCACTATGTAGACCAGGCTGGCCTTGAACTCACAGAGATCCACCTGCCTCTGCTGTGCGCCACCACACCTGGCAAAATAAGTATTTTTTAAAAAAATACATAAATATTGGGGCTGGAGAGATGGCTCAGTGGTTAAGAGCACTACTTCAGAGGACCCAGGTTCGATTCCCAGCACCCACATGACAGCCAACAACCATGTAACTCCAACACCCTCTTTCTGACCTTTGCATGCACTTACATACCCGCAAGTAACACACTTATACACATAAAAAATATAAATAATAAAAGATATTTAAAAATAAATAAATGTAGCTAAATTTAGAGAGAGGACGAGGTGACTGTATCCCAGGGTAGACGGACACATGACCAGGAGACCCAGATCTCTCGGGTACTGTCCCTGGACCCACCCAGATGCCCTTCAATTGCAAGCCAGATCAGTCCTGGTCGATGTGTTCAGAAGGCAAAAAAAGGAGGACCTCCGCAGCATGAACGTGGAACAGAGATGACTCACAAACCAAGCTCAGCGGCTTAGGGCTCCAACCCGGCCGGGAGCACTGTGCAGTCAGGCAGGAGGGAGGAAGACCTGGAGGGGTGCAGCGAGGAGTATCGGGGGCCACCTCATGACGTGGGCACGGTCTGCCCGCTACGAGCGTCGGAACTCTAACGCAAGGAGCGCACAGGCCGCAGCTCTTTGGAGCTGCTCTGGAAGCGCTGTGGTCGCCCGAGGCCAGAGCTCCGCAGGCCGCGTCCCTGCGAAGGGTCGGGGCAGCACCACCGCCCCCGCCCCGGTTCCCGCACGGCGGCCGCCCAGGGCCGGGACCCGCTGAAGCGACCGAGCAGTGCGGCCACGTAGGTCTCCGGGCCGGCCGGCCGACCCCGTCTTGCCGCCCCCTCCCTGCAGCCTGCCCGGTCCGCGTCCCCCTCGCCCGCACGCCCGGGGCCGCTCGGTGCTCCCGCCCGGCACCCCCGCCATGGCACCGTCCCCCCTCGTACCCCCTCCCGGTCCTCCCGAGGCTACGAGAGCTCCGCGGGGCTCGGGTCCGGGCCTCCCGCGTCCGCCGCTCACCGGTGGAAGGTGAGCTGCTTCCTGCGGCTGCTATAGCGGTTGCAGCACTGCCGGGCCGCGCACGACTTCGGCATCTCGGAGCCCGGCCCGCTGCCCCTAACAAAGATGGCGGCAGCAAGGCCGCGGCGGGCGGAGCCCGCGAGGGGCGGGGCCTGCAGGGCACCTGGAGCGGGAGCTAGGCTGGCCGAGCCCCCCAGCTCAGGCCTCGGTCGCCTAGGGACTCGAGGCCCACACCCACCAGCTGCCTTTCAACCGTGGACCCCTAGTTCCAACCCCCAACTTGGCCAATAGTTTAAGGCTTCCAGAAGTGACGGGTTTGATGGGGCTTTTAAGACCAGGTGGGTCCTGCCTCAGCCTCCCAGATAAGTCATGGGGTTGGGTTTTCTTTTTTAATATTTTATTAATTTATGAGTGTTATGCCTATATGTAGGTAAGTGCACTTGTGCCGTGCGATGCCCGAGGAGGACAGAAGAGGCTGTTGGATCCCCTGAAACTGGAGTTACAGACAGTTGTTAGATGCTATGTGGATGCTCGGATTCGAACCCAGGTTTTCTGCAAGAACAGTGATCGTTCTTAACCGCTGAGCCATCTCTCCAGCCCCAAGTTTTTTTAAAGACTTGTTTTTATGTGTTTGCTGGCATGTATATAAGTGCACCACGTACATGCCTGGTGCCTGAGAGGGCAAAAGACCAGGTCAGAGCCCCTGCAACTAGAGTTCTGAACTAAGCCACCATGTGGGTGCTGGGAACCAAATCCAGGTTTTCGAACAAGAGCAAGTGCACTTAACCTGAGCCCTCGATCCACCGGACCCGATCCGACACCCCCCCACCCCCACCAAAGATTTGATCTACTGATGTCACTGAACCCACTTGGCCACCAGTTGGCTTGATGAACTGAAAATGCCTGGCATTGGGGACCCAAGGGTTAAGGGCAGAGGAATGCCCAAGCTTGGTTCATCCCAGGCCTGCAGAACCTAGCAGGCTGTGGCTTTTAGAGCACAGGTCAGGCCCCTCGCCTGAGCTGAAACCCAAAAAAGCCTTTCACGTGAGCCCAGGATGGCATTTATCTCTGTAGAGCACTGGAGGCGCACCAGGGGCCTGAGCCCCTTCATCCTGCCAAGTGCCTTCATGCCACCATGTATGAAGTGGGGGAAGACCACCGGTATCCCTGAGCACAGATTGAAGGAGATGCCGACCTCAAAGTAGCAATATCTTTATTTACAAAATATACAGTTTCACAGAAACAGCTCGCTTTATACACATAAACTTTATAATTACACAGAACCATGTAAACGATGTTAAGCCAATGAGAGGGGCCGACTTCGGGGGTGACACCTATTCCCTTCCCCTCACATCATCAGCCACCAACCAGGAGTCCCTAGGAGGGTCATGCCCAATTTTGCATAAAGCTGATTGCAGCTGCACAGCTCAATCTACCCCCAAACCAAGGTGTCTGCCTTCTGACACCACCCACGGGGACAGACAGATGGGTAACAGAAATCAAGCAAACAGAAATTGAGATGAGTATGGAACGTGTTCCAGAGGCGTCACACCTTTAAGCTCATGTGACCATGGCTAGGGTGGGCAGTTCCACTTTAAAAATCACACATATTCTTAAATGCACTTTAAAACTCTAAGGAGCTTCTATAAAAAGAATGCACTGGAACTTTGGTTACTCAGGGTGAAGACACTGGACAGGTATTGTCACAGGGCAGGTCTTTGGCAAATTCCTCCAACTTGTCCTGGCTGTTTGCACCTCAGAGCCAGACAACAGCCTAGAACAAGGTTGTCTCTCCACAGCAGAATTCTCCCTTGACTTCACAATAAACTGAGTTTCAGGAACTATTTTTCTCTACTTTTGTACTTCAATATAACCAACAGGATTTTAAAAAAAAAAAAAAAAAAAAAAAAAGAGTTCCCTGGACAAGTGTGAGACACACCGAGACAAAAAGAAAAAGGCTCCAATTAGCCAAATTACAGCCCAAGCTCCTTGGTGCTTCGGTGAGATGTGGGAGAAAATGCCTGGTGACCCTGCAAAGGTGTCACAGTGGTTGGGGGGACGGGGGGCAGCAGTCAACAACAGGCGAAGAATCTGACCAACTTGGCCACTTCCCTTCTCAAGCCCAACAAGAAAACACATGAAACACAACCCACTGTTTGGCCAGCAGTCCCAGAATGAGTAGTGAGATTTCAAGGGAGCACCACCCACCTCAGAGGTTTCCAGGACCACCAGTGTCCCAGGTATGCTCCCCTGAGCAGTGTGTGAAGCTTGCCCTAAGGGTTCCAGAGCTGGCCTCCCCAGTGCAGGACCTGTGTTCACACCCAGGAACTCTATACACTGCTAAAGGTCCATGTTACTGTACCACTGACTCACCAACTCAAACCAAAAGGATTCAAACCTAACATCGCCCCGGGAAGCAAGCAGGCCAGCCTTTGTGCGGAGGATACCCACATGACTGCAGGAGACTCCTAGTCTTCTCACCCCATTATTTGAAGGAACAGCACTCAGGTCCCAAGGATTGCCTAGTCTGTGGGTTGCTACCAGAACAGGTGAAAAAGAGCCAAGTGCTCCCACACTGGAGAAGCGTGTCGGGCATAAGGGCAGAGAAAGGGCACCTGCAAGAAACTGAGTCATGAACTCAAGCCACTGCCACCCCCTTTCCACAGAGAGGTGGCCACATACCATCCCTTTAAATCAACAGTGGAAACCAAAGACTCCCCAGCTCTCCCACCATCTAGGGTCCCTCCTGGGGACACTTGTGCTCTCGGGCAGCAGCTCCCTGGCCGGGTAAGTACAGCTGGGGCAGAGGCAGTGCAGACAGGAAGGAAGGGGGCAACTTGGATGGCTGCATGGCAAAAGACTGAAGCTGGAGAAGAAACTCACCACTAACAGGCCAGAGAAATGACATCTCCCCCAGTAAGTGGAAGGAAGCAGGACTAACAGCTAGCACTGGCTCCCAGTGGCGGGAACTGTTAACAGGACAGCAAAACTTCATGATGACCATGTGCCCTCACTGGGCTGAGGCAGACCCTGGTGCCAGGTCTCCGTCTGCCTCCACCGCAGCAAACCAGCTCTGGCAGCAGCTTTGCCGACGTTTTATTCGCTCACTGGCTATGTACAGTTTCTACCTTGGACGGCTTGTCCTTTTGCTTAGGCACCTGAATGGCAGGGTCTGCCCGCCCCACAGCTGGGAGTCCTGTGCTCAGCAGAGGGAGGGCCACAGAGAGACAGAGACCGCATCCCTTCCAGTCCAGCTGCAGCCTCCTCGCCAGCTCCAAGTCAGTCCAGAAACAGCTTCCGGGAGCCCATTCGGGAACGGTTGGAACGACGGATATCAAACTTGGAGTCCCGGCACTTTTGGCAGACGAACACTTCAGGAACATTGGACTTCCGGATCTTCGCACAAGACAGGTGGATCCAGGTGTGGCACTCGTTGCACTCTATCATGGGGCGACCAGCAAATGGCTTCATGCAGAAACAGGTGACAAGATCCCAGGAATCATCATCTGAAAGGAAAGGAACAAGTGAGAGGGGGATGACCTTTGAGGCTCCCCTGCCCCCCAACAGCTGCATATCCAGTGGGCTCACTGCTGCCCATACTCAGCTGGTGCACTGGCATTCCTCTGACCATGCAGTGAGCGCACCCCAGAGGGCACTGAACCAGCTGTCGCTCATGGGCTAGCTCATTTTCACACAGGCTTCTCATGCAACCGGGACTGAGTTTCCAGTGACTATGGGCCCTTTCATGAGTGTCTCCCATCTGTCCGTCTTCACACTTTCTCCTCTCAAAGACATGGGGTGCACCCTGGGGTCCCACTCCAAGGGCCTGGACCCTCTGCTCTCGAACCATCGCCCCTGCTCCAGCCCTGGGACCACTCACCTGAGTCCACCATGATGTCCTCATCATTGCCAGTGCTGTCTTCATCTCGGAACACCACCTGCTTTCCCTGCCGGACAATAGTCCGTTTCCCTTCAGTCTTTACTTCTTTGACCTGATCAGGTGACACAGTGGCACAAGAGCCACTCGAGGGGGTGTCAGAGTCCCAGCCAGAGCAGGCATCACCAGAGGCCTGGGGAATATCCTGCAGAGTGGGACTTGCTGGGGTCTCCACGTAGGTGTCGGCAGCTTCCAGCTTCAGCAAGCCCCCCCTGTACCCCTCCTTCACAGGCACGTCACTGTCTCTGCGCTTCCTCTTCTTCTTCTTCTTCAGTTTGTCAGTTTTCTTCCTGTCCAGCAGGAAGTTACTGGGCTTGGCTCGCTGTAGGAGGGTGGGCTGCAGGTGACTGAAGCAGCGGTCGGATACCGGCAAAGGCACCGAGGGTGTGATGTCAGAGAAACCAGTGTCCCAGCCATCACTGTCGATGGTGCCCGCAGTGCTGTTGGCGGGGCTGGGGCTGCTCCTCAGAGGGAGCTCCTGCAATGACAGAGGCACAGGGACATGGTTTCAGAACTTCAACCAGCCCCTCGGCTAAGACATACACACGGTCAGGCATCCTGTAAGGAGCCAGGACAACCTCAACACTGAACCCTCCTCAGACCCTGCCCTAGAACCAGAATTAAGCTCAGTTAAATATGCACAAAAGGCAGGGTGCAGCATAGCCTTAGGAGCAATGTGCTTACCTGCCTGCAGGGGACAGGACTGAGTTGAGCCCCCTTACCAGTATCCCAAAGACCACTCCAGGCACCCTGCCCTCTGTCTTACTCTCCCTAATTGTAAAGTGTCCCTTCCATTTGTCCTCACAAGAGATACTCTTTAATTACATGAACTTAAGTTTCAAAAATTTAGCACTCAAAAATCTGGAAACATTGCAAAATACTGCACAAAGTAGGTAATTACTGCCGCCCCCCAAAACAGCAAGCTAAATGCTACCCCTCTTCATAGTGAACATGATTTGCTGATAGTGCCAACCGTCTACGTGGTACAAAGCATATGCTATATGCCAGGTGGAGAGTAAACTGTGCACACTGCATTCTTTTGTTTGTGGCTTAGTATGACATACAAGGGCACCCTCAAGGGTAGCCCCACAGCAGCTCTGACCCACAGCCCTGCCCTTTCATTAGGAAGGAAAAAAGCATTCTTGTACATGGGATCCAGGGCATGGACAGGAACCCCCCAGAGAGGCCTGCACCTATGGCAAGTGAGTGCCCCTCTGTGGCCAGGTACCATCACCCTAAGGCTCAGAACAAGGTTGACCACAAAAGGGCAAGCAGATACCAACCCCTTAGTTGCAAACAGACCTTGCGTTGGGACTTTTTGTGCTGCTGTTATGTTCTCAAGACAGGGTCTCTCTTTTAGTCCATGCTGACCTGAACTCACTACACAAATAGCCCAGGCTGACAAACTGTTGGTCAATTTCCTTCCTGAGCCTTCTGAGTGCAAGAATCACAAGAGTGGGCACAAATGAACTCATAAGCCAACATTTCCTATCAGGGCCTTGGGACTCTCTTCCCTAGCTGGGCTGATCTAGGCTCTAAAGAAATAAGATTCCCGCCGGACTAGGGCTGTAGGTCATGACCGGCAAGGCTTCCAGGCGAACTCCTGAGCAGAAAGCTGAGGAGCTGGAGGTCTCAAAGGCATAGGGGCCATTACCTCCTTTGGATAAGGAATGTAGCCAGCATAGGCCAGGACAAAGGTGCAGAATTTGTTGAAGTCCTCCACAGTCCGGCGCCTCTTGCAACTGGGGGAGTACTCCTGTTAACAGAACAAAGGCTGTGTGAAGGAAGGCCTCCCGGAGGAGGCTTCCAGCCAACAAGAAAGCAAGCTGCAACTTTTACGGCCAACTCACAAAACACTGCAAAATTTACAATCTAGAAACAAGATAAGGTGAGTCCAGGTCAAGAAATGACAGTTTTCGTAAGGAGGAAAGAGGATCCTGTGCCAAGAACACTGGGAAACTGGCTAGGAGATAAAAGCTGGTCCACCTCCTGGCACTCGGGGAGTTGTCTGACCTTATCTACGTGTCCCTCCAGGCCTATCCTGAGCTCTGATACCTAATTTCTGCTACAGATTTCCCACTTTACAACAAACTGCTGCTCTAACGAAAACACTGATTTCAAAAACCCGCAGCTCAATCTTTCCTTGCTCTCCGGGCTGATCCCAGGAGGCCAAGGCAGGGAGGACCCAGTGTCGCCGGCCCAGGGGGCTGGGCCTATCCTGGACCAAGCTTTTTCCTCCGGACTTAGAGGAGGCGGCAAGGCAGTCCTGCCCGGTTTGGGTGCACACTTGGGGGGTCGTTCCCACGGGCCGCGGAGCACCCACTACGTAAGGGGGTGGGTGCTCCATTCGCCGCGGCCGCTCCGCGCACCACCTGGGCGCCACCCCCGCCCCGGCTCAGGTGCTCGGTCCGAAGCAGCGGCATCGGCACGACTGCGCAGAGCGGCGGGTCCTCCGAACACCACTTTTAAAAAGGTTCCCAACTTGCTCCTCCCGGCCCGGGGCGGCGAGGCCCGTAGGCCCCCAAACTCCACCCCAACTTTAACTTCGCCGGGGGCCCGCGCGGCAGTGGTCAGGGCCCCGGACCCGAGTGGGAGGCGGCGCCGCGGCGGCTGGGGATCCGCCCTCCCCCGCGAAGCAGATGGCGCGCGCCGCTGGCCCTCCCGCCGGCGCAGGCCCCGGAAGGTGCGGGGCCCACCCGTGGGGTGCGGGACGCCCTCGGAAGCTGGGAAGGGGGGGGTCCCGTCGTCGCGCAGGC